ACAGGCTGAGCCACCGAGCCCAGCTAATTTTTTTTTTTTTTAATTTAAATAGAGGTGAGGTCTCACTATGTCACCCAAGCTGGTCTGGAACTCCTGGGCTCAAGCAATCCTCTCACCTTGGCCTTCCAAAGTGCTGGGATGATAGGCATGAGCCACAGTGCTGTTTATTTTATTTTATTTTATATTTTGAGTCTGAGTCTCACTCTCACCTGCAGCCTTGACCTGCTGGGCTTAGGCAATCCTTCTATTTCAGCCTTCGAAGTAGCTGGAATTACTGGTGTGTGCCATCATACCCAGCTAGTTTTTTTTTTTTTTTTTTAATTGTGAAGACGAGGTCTTGCCAAGTTACCTAGGCTGGTCTCGAATCCGTGGGCTCAGGCAGTCTTCTCGCGTCAGCCTCCAAAATGCTGAGATTATAGATAGGAGCTACTGTGCCCAGCTATTTTATTTTATTTTTTTGAGCTGGAATCTCACTCAGTTGCCCAGGCTGGAGTGCAGTGGCACACTCATAGCCACTCCAGCGTCAACCTGCTGGGCCATGCCTGGCTAAGTTTTTTGATTTATTGTAGAGATAAGGTCGTACCAAGTTGCCTGGACCGTTCTCGAACCTGTGAGCTCATGCAATTCCCTCACCTTGGCATCTCAAAGTGCTGGGATTGCAGGCTTGAGTCACCGTGCCTACCATACTTTGTATTTTTAATGAAATATTTTATGTTTTTAGACATGGTTATTTGTTGAATGTTAGCCACTGAAAAGGGTGCTGAAAGTATAATGGTGACACATAAAAGTGAGTCCTCTTGGAACAACTTCCTTTTTGCTGGTTTAGGGACATGAATGATGTTAGAAAGCCTCAGCTCTTCACGTACTGGTGGGTTTTGGTTATTTGTGGATGTGTAGAGATTTGTGGTTCTTGGTTCTCACAAGTTTATAAGCCCATTTTCTCCCTGGGTGGCCAGGCTGCTACTGAATTGCTTCAGAGAGTTGAGGCTATCATGCTTCTTAAGGAGGATGGGTTTATATCTGCATGTATGTTACCTTCCTCACATCCAGAGCTTGTGGAAGGAATTGGAAGGCGTCACTGTGTCTTAAAGCCTTGAAAGCCAAGATCATGTCTTGCTTATTTGTAGTATCTTGCTGTTCCTGGGCTAGGAGTTTATGTCGTATACTCTTATACTGTTTATAATGCCTAATATACCCCTGTAATTGATTAACGCTTTTTTTAAAAAAATTTTTGTAAGGTATTGTACCCCACGCTATAGTGAGTTTGAAGAGCTTGAACGGAAATACTGGAAAAATCTCACATTTAATCCCCCGATCTACGGTGCAGATGTGAATGGTACTCTCTATGAAAAGGTGAGACTCACTGGCAACCCTCTGGGCAGCATTTTTGTGATGTAATACGTTGTTTTCTGCCCAGCACATAGTGGGCACCTAAAAGCTGTAGGGTAGATGAACAAATGAATGTTCTACCCCCAGCTCACTTAATTGTGCTCACTTACTTGTGGGGTTTTTTTGCATGTGACTAGATTTTATTTCTTCCACTTTGCATGTGAATTGGATGATGTGGTGTTCTTTTCAAGGGCTGTTAGCATAGTCAGTGGGTGGTAGCTGATGAGTTCTGGAAAGGGTGGGATGGATCCCAGATAATGAAATGTTGGGGGAGAGAGAGGCAGTGTGGTTTCTGCAGGAAAGAGATTACTGACTAATCTAATGAAAGGGGCATATATTTAAGAAGAGAAGTGTATTTCAATTTTCAGAACCCTTGAGATTCTGTAGCAAAAGCTATTTTAACCACTTTCATTGGTTTGGGACTCAGTGCTTTTTGGAATAAAGAACGCCCTTAAAAATAGTAGCAGGAGGAGAATATTTGGGACTGTCTTTGAATGATTGAAAGATTGGTAGGGTGTTTCAGGAGTTATCACTCATTTTAATTTTAACATTTTTATCAATTATTGGAAGAGTTTACAGTGAATTCCAGGCCAGATGTGGTAGCTCACACCTATAATCCCAGTGTTTTATGAGGCTGAGGTGGGAGGATCACTTGAGTCCAGTAGTTTGAGATATGCCTGGGCAACATAGTGAGACACCATCTCTACAAAAAAATTTAAAGAATTAGCTGGATACAATGATACACACCTGTATTCCCAGCTACTCAGAAGGCTGAGGCAGGAGGATCACTTGAACTCAGGAGTTCAAAGTTACAGTGACCTATGATTACACTTCTGCACTCCAGTCTGGATGACAGAACAAGACCATGTCTCAAAAAAACAAAACAGTGAATTCCAGTTTTGTTGGTAGCATCAATTATTTTGGGTGGTGGAAAGTAAAGCTTATAGGGATGAATGGTGGGAAGATGTTGTAAGGATCTAAGATGGGAGGTACAAGTGCAGGGCATAGTAATCCAAAAGCTACTTAAATGAGGGGAGCTCCTCACTGCCCATTACAACTCCGGAAAAGGAAATATAGATGTTTTATGAAGACGCTGCCTCGTGGAAATCAGCTCTAAAAAGTCACAAAGTTGCTGTAGTTAATTCCCATGTCTAGTATTTTTGTGTGTGTGTGCTCTTAAGAGTTCTTATTTTGATGTAGGCTTCTTTATCACTAGTTGAAACTCTTCCTATTGGGGTTTAAAACAGATGACTGTCACCTCCTGATTCATCTTCCCACACTAGTATTGTTCACAAGGTGGTGTTTGTCCTCCTAAGGTACAATGGCATCAGATCCAGTGGTCCTGTGAAAATGAGTGAGGGATGCTGTAGTCTTTACATCCATACTGTTGAACATTGTTCCACATGTTTGATAGAGGTGATAGCTCTCCTGTGACTCACTGTGATTTGGAGATTCAGAACCTCAGTTTATATTCAAATGTAACTTACTCTGCACTGTCATTTCCTTTGCAGCATGTTGATGAGTGGAATATTGGCCGGCTGAGAACAATCCTGGACTTGGTAGAAAAGGAGAGTGGGATTACCATTGAGGGTGTGAACACCCCCTACCTGTACTTTGGCATGTGGAAGACATCCTTTGCCTGGCACACTGAAGACATGGACCTATACAGTATCAACTACCTGCACTTTGGAGAACCAAAATCCTGGTAAAGTCTGCCTGCTTTTGGCACTGGGCTTCTCATGCTAGGGCAGGGGCTTACCTTTAATGCACATGGGAAACACCTCAGGATCGTGTTAAAATCATCCTGGTTCAGTAGGCTTGAGTGGGGGCTGGAATTCTGCATTTTAAGCAAACTTTCAGGTGCTGGGACACTGTTGGAGCTCTGGTGCTGACTACCTTGTTTTTTAAAAAATATTTATTTATTTATTTATTTATTTATTTAGAGTCGGAGTCTCACTCCCTTGCCTAGGCTGGAGTGCAATGGCATGTTCACCACCACCCCAGCATCCACCTGCTGGGCTCTGGTGATCCTTCTGATTCAGCCTTCCAAGTAGCCAGAACTACAGGCATGCGCTACCATGCCCAGCTAATTTTTTGATTTATTGTAGAGTCAGGTCTCGCCAAGTCGCCCGGGCTGGTCTCAAACCCACGGGCATAGGCAATCTACTCTCCTCGGCCTCCCAAAGTGCTGGAATTACAGGCTGAACAACTGTGCCTGGCCAGACTACCTTTTTTGTTGTTGTTTTTTGTTTTTTGAGTTGGAGTCTCACTCCATCGCCTAGGCTGGAGTGCAGTGGCACGATCACGGCCACCACGGGATCGACTTGCTGGGCTCAGGCGATCCTTCCGCCTCAGCCTTCCAAGTAGCTGGAACTACAGGCATGCGCTACCATACCCAGCTAATTTTTTTATTTATTGTAGAGATGAGGTCTTGCCAAGTTGCCCAGGTTGTTTTTGGACCCATGGACTCAGGTAATTCCTTCATCTTGGCCACCCAAAGTGTTGGGATTACAGGCTTGAGCCACTGCTGCCAGCCTACCATTTTTGTTTTTTTGAGTGGGGTCTCACTCTGTTGCTCGGGCTACAGTGCAGTGGCATGATTACGGCTCACTGCAGCCCCAACCTCTTGGTCTCAGGTAATCCTTCTGCCTCAGCCTCCTGAGTAGCTGGGACTACAAGCTTGTGCTACCATGCCTGGCTAACTTTTGATTTTTTTGTGTGGAGACAAGGCTGTTGCCCAGGCTGGTTATAAACTCCTGGGTATGAACAGTTCTCCCATCTTGGCCTCTCAAAGTGTTGGGATTATAGGCGTGAGCCACCACATCTAACTCAAACTATCTTTTGAGTAGGGAGGGTTTAGAGAATAGGGTACTTAATATAATTGTATGGAAGCACAAGTTGGCTGAGTTACTGAAAGCCACAGGGGCTCTTCCAGGCTATCCACTGCTGTCTCATTTCTTTTTCTGAACAGGCCTGAGGCATTTCTTAGAGGCAGACTTCCAAGACTAGAGTCACGCCTTCAGATGATAGAAAGCTTTCTTTTCCTCATGAAGAAAATACTTGATGAACAGCAGTGTGTGCTTAGCAGGAGGGGATGCGAGGCATATGCTTCCTGTTCTCCAGGATGTTATCAGTCTTGCTGGGGAGACAGAGAGTCAAGATTGGTTTTCTCTTCTCTTCCTGGACTGACCCATCTCAGTCTCAGCATTTTAGTGGAGGTTCTGCAGATAACAAGATGCATAAGACGTTGTGAGCACACAGGGTAGAGGACCCGTGAGGAAGTAGAAAGAATGAGAAAATGATAATATGGTGCCAGGAAAGCTCTGATGGGAAGTAGTGGATGCTTAAGTCTACATAGGAAGCACACTTGGGTGGTGTGGGAATTAGAGAAGGCTTTTTTGGAGGAGGGGTGACAACTAAGCTGAGATTTAAAAATGAGAAGGACATAGCTGGGTGGAATGGTGATGGGCTTAGGAGTGGGGAGGCTGAGGGCAGTGTGTCTAGGTGGTTGAAGCCACATAGGCATAACTCCTGGATTAAGAGAGAGCACAGTACATTTAGGGAGCTAGAGGAAGACCAGTGTAGTTTGGGCGCTGTGTACGAGGATGAGGAGTGAGTGAAGAGGCTGTGGGCCAGGTTATGAGGAGTTGTGAAAACCGTATCCATCTTCACTTCTTTTTCAGCATCTTCAACCACATCCCTTCTCATGGGTTTTCCTTTCTTTAAAATACTTTTCAGTTTCTAATCTTGAGGGGGAAAATCCCTTTTGATTCTGTGTTACCCCTAACTACTGTCCCATTTTCTTCCTTAGGTGGCTAGACTTGTAGAATCTGTAAATGTAGCTTTTTACTCCAGAATTTCTTGATGTTTGATTTCTGAATTCTCATGCCAAGAGGTTTTCCAATTATTATATACACTCTTGGTCATCTGAAGCGGGAGCTCCAGAGAGTTATGTGAAGGGTTGCCTAATGAATCCTCAAGTCCTTTAGGTGATTTTTTTTTCTCAGCTCACCTTTGTTTTGTTTCATAGTGAAGCTACCTGGAATGGGAAGATTTGTTGTTGTAGAATAATCTGTAGAATAGGTTATAAAGGTTAAAATAGTTACTGTGAGTTTCAGAATATAACGTTTTAACGGTTTTGCAGAAGATGTAAGTCGTCTCAGGTGATGTTTTGTCTTTCTTCCCCTTTTTTTTTTTTGAGTTGGAGTCTCACTCTGTCACCCAGACTGGAGTGCAGTGGCCGCTCCTGACCACCGCAGTCTCGACCTGCTGGGCTCCGGCGATCCTTCCGCCTCAGCCTTCTAAGTAGCCGGAATTACAGGCATGCGCTACCACGCCCGGCTGATTTTTTGATTTATTGTAGAGATGAGGTCTCCCTGCCCAGGCAGGTCTCAAACCCGCGGGTTCAGGCCATCCACTCACCTCAGCCTCCCAAAGGTGCGGGATTACAGGCTGAGCCACCGAGCCTGGCTTCTTTCTTTTTTTAAATGCATAGCAGTTTCTGTGGTATTTAGAAACCCATAGTCAGTATATGTAGCTGTCAGGAGATGAAGGGAAGTGGGTTCATCAGCAGGTATGGCACAAGGTTTTTCAATGTCTGGTCCATCTTGACTCTGCTTTTCATTCTTCCTCTAGCTTACCCCCCCCCCCCGTAGGCCTCTTAAGCTCTGCCGACAGCATTTTTTAAATACTGAAGTTATGTAATGCCATTCTTCTTTTATTTTTCCTTTTTAAAAATTTTACTACATGAGCAATGTTGTAAAGGAGAGTATCATTGTGTACCATAAAACTTGGCTAAAAGTGAGTATTTAATAAATGTCTTATTAAATGAATGAATACAGAAGAAATAAATTCACTTCTTTGTGGGCTTCCCACTCTTCCCAGTCTAATACTTCATTTCTCCAGATTCCAGTGCTTGGGAAGTTAAAAAATTCTGCTATAGCTGGGCTCGGTGGCTCAGCCTGTAATCCCGTGTCTTTGGGAGGCTGAGGTGAGTGGATTGCCTGAGCCCGTGGGTTCGAGACCCGCCTGGGCAACTTGGCGAGACCTCACCTCTACAATAAATTAAAAATTAGCTGGGCGTGGTAACGCGTGCCTGTAGTTCCAGGTACTTGGAGGGCTGAGGTGGAAGGATCGCCGGAGCCCAGCAGGTCGAGGCTGTGGTGACCGGGAGCGGCCACTACACTCCAGTCTGGGCGACAGAGTGAGACTCCAACTCAAAAAAAAAAAAAAACAAATTCTGCTATTTCAAGGTGTTTTGAGAGTGGCAACTAGCCCCTTAGTTCCTGTACCTATCTTCTGCCCAGTGTCTGATGCACTCATGTATTTGCAGGTACTCTGTTCCACCAGAGCATGGAAAGCGGTTGGAGCGCCTCGCCAAAGGTACTGTGTCTCCTTCATATGCTGGATCGGACCCTCCTGTGAGCTGTGCTCCTTGCTCTAATATGTCCATTCCCTGTGATCAGATTCTTGCAAGGCCTATCAAGGGCCTGCAGCTAGGGTGAGCTAGACTGCCAGCTTGGTTATCTTAGCAGAGCAATGATAATCAAAGCCTTTTCCTGCTTTGCTCTGAGAAGGGACTTTGCCATTTCTTCTTTAACTGCCTTTGCCTCAGCTTAACCAAGCATAGGCTTATTTGACCAGGAATAACATGCCAGTCATATTGGGTCTGGTTCTTCTGCCAAAAACCCAGATGTTAAAGTCAAATTGGATTATTTTATGCGTTGGTTCTTTTAAGTGGACTTTGATAGATTCGTTCCTCTAGAAAGCCTGTTCTGGAAAGCCTGGGTAGACTCTACTGTAGACGCGTTAATGAAAAGATTGAAGACACAAGTGACTAGAGAAAGATCCTAGATAGTATCAAAGCTCTGTAAGAACAGAGGCAGCTTTGGTGATCTCAGTACTCCAAACAATTTGCTTACCCATGTGACAATGTTCTACATGGGAATGAGCCCAGAGGCTCATTATAGAATCTTATTATTTTTTTTTTTTTTATTTTTGAGTTGGAGTCTCACTCTCTTTCCCAGACTGGAGTGCAGTGGCATGCTCCCGGCCACTGCAACCTCAACCTGCTGGGCTCCAGTGATCCTTCTGCCTCAGCCTTCCAAGTAGCTGGAACTATAGGTGTGTCCTATCACGCCTGGCTAATTTTTGATTTATCGTAGAAACAAGGTCTCGCCAAGTTGCCCAAGCTGGTCTCGAACCTGTGGGCTCAGGCAATCCACTCGCCTTGGCCTCCCAAAGTGCTGGGATTACACTCTGAGCCACCAAACCCGGCTGTAGAATCTTATAATTGGCCTGGAACAGAAGAATCCTTGGAGATCACAGGTGTGGAGTGACTCCAGGATTGCAGAGGTAGTGTAGAGCATTGTATTAACTTATACCCATTTCAATTGAACAGGCTTTTTCCCAGGAAGTGCTCAAAGCTGTGAGGCTTTTCTCCGCCATAAAATGACCCTGATTTCCCCTTTAATGCTGAAGAAGTATGGAATTCCCTTTGATAAGGTGAGGTGAATTTACATACAGAAGTCCTTAGGCTACACAGATAGCACCCTTTCTAGTCTTTATTATACAGGGTTTTATTCTAGTTCATTACTTTATACTAGGTGTTGGGCCAAGGCTAAACTATATAACAGCACTTTGATCTGAGAGTAATAAAGGTGGGCCACTGTAGCTTCCTGGTGCCAGAGGAGAGTCGGATCCCCTTGAACAATGATAATTTGGAGGAACGGTTAATTATAGTCTTGGTGTCTGATATGTTAGGGCTTTGCATTTTACAGAAGACAGCAAGACCTCCGTGGTTTTATGACTTATCCCTTGGTTACTCAGCTAAGTGGTGGCAGAGCTGGAACTCAGAATTCCAGTTTTGTGGGCTTCTGCCATTTGAAGCAGCTGCTTCACGTCTGTTCTTGTTCAGGTGACACAAGAGGCTGGAGAGTTTATGATCACTTTCCCTTACGGTTACCATGCTGGCTTTAACCATGGCTTCAACTGTGCGGAGTCTACCAATTTTGCTACCCGTCGGTGGATTGAATATGGCAAGCAAGCTGTGCTGGTAAGTTCACTTGATTTCTTTCTTTAATATCATGACCAAAATGTATGTCTGAGCAAATTCTGGTTAGACATGTTGGCTGGTGATTAGAATATTTCTTTGAACTGCTGGAATTTGGAAACAGAATATCTGGAATTATGTGAAAATGCCAATGTTTTGTGTTCTTATGGAATTTTAAAAAATGTGCTCAGATGCTGGGTGCGTGGCTCAAGCCTATAATCTCAGCACTTAGGGAGGCCGAAGCGAGAGGATTGCCTGAGCTCAGGGGCTTGAGACCAGCCTGAGCAACATTGGGAGACCTCGTTTCTACAATAAATCAAAAAAATAAGCTGAGCATCGTAGCGCAATCCTGTAGTTACAGCTACTTTGAAGGCTAAGGCAGAAGGATTGCCGAGCCCAGCAGGTTGAGGCTGCGGTGGTCATAAGCATTCCACTGCACTCCAGCCTGGGCTACAAAGTGAGACTCTGACTCATGCTCAAATTTGGGAAGTATGAGTGAAGTTCCATGCTTAAGTCCATTAGGCATTAAGGCCACACGCACACACTTCAGCCACTATGAGATTTCTCTGTTGAGCAGTTCTTTTTTTTTTTTTGAGTTGGAGTCTCACTCTGCTGCCCAGACTGGA